AAAAAAAAAAAAAAAAAAAAGTAGCATAATATACACATGGTTCTACACTTTGCATTTTTACATGAATCAGGAAAGAGAACTGAAATACTCAAATCCAAAAAAGAAGAGAAATCAATACAGTTTTTAAAAACAAATAGTTGCAGGTTACTTGGTGCTTTTACCCTCTTTCTGGACAGTAGAAGGACCTTGGTACCCTATAACTCCAAGTATATACTCTTATGTATTTTCACTCCTTATACCTTTGAAGTCCCACAACATATTTCTATTGCTTTAATAATTCAGTCTTCTTTCATATATCTCTCTTTCTTGACTCTAAAACAGTGTTTATCTCCTTGGTGTTGGGTCGTGGGGTAGGGCTGGTTCAACTCGATAGTTTAGGAAAAACTAAGCATATGCTAACAGACGGAAAAAGCCCATCATTTAAAAAAAAAAAAAAAAAAGGAAAAGGAAAAAAAACTACAAGAGTCCAGGTGCAGTGGTTCATGCCTATAGTCCTAGCACTTTGGGAGGCTGAGGTGAGAGGATTGCCTGAGCCCACAGGTTCGAATCAACCTGGGCAATTTGGCGAGACCTCATCTCTACAGTAAATCAAGAAAAATTAGCCAGGCATCGTGCCACATGCCTGTAGTTCCATTTACTTCGAAGACTGATTTTGGAAGGATCGCCTGAGCCTAGCAGGTTGAGGCTGCAGTGGCCATGAATGTGTCACTGCACTCCAGCCTGGGAAACAGGGTGAGATTCTGACTCCCCGCCCCCCAAAAAATTACCAGAAAGAGTGAGAGAAACTGGCTGATTTTTACAAATGTGTCTAAAAAGGAGGAACTTGTTGATAACATGAAAACACAGCCTTGTATAGGGAACACTGGTCATAAGATCTTTAGAACTGTAGGAAAAAGGATTTCAGAGAAGCCAAAGGAAAGATAGTAGATAAGCTTTCTTGGGTTGTTAAAATGTTTCCATTTTGCTGTGGTGTAAATGAGGTGTGAGAAAAGAAAAATTTCATAGTTGTAAAATCTTGGGTCAGAGTGGAGAGAAGGTAAAGAAATATTTAAGAAAATAAACAAAAACAACAGTATGATAAACTGGGCTCTTTTAGGTCCAGAGGAATAAGGGACATCTCAATAGGACTGGATGCAAAGAAGTAGCTCTCACAGAATCCAGAGGGAGCCCATGAGATTTGCTGGAAGGCAATAAAGGTCTTTTGCCCTAACTGGAGCATTCATGACATTTTATTGTTGTTGAAATAAATTGCAGTAGGGTGAATTGGATGATTTTTCTCTTTTTTTTTTTTTGAGTTGAGGTCTTGCTGTGTCGCCCAGACTGGAGTGCAGTGGCCGCTCCCGGCCACCGCAGCCTCGACCTGCGGGGCTCCGGCAATCCCTCCGCCTCAGCCTTCCAAGTAGCTGAGCAACCACGCCCGGCTAGATTGTACTCTTAAGTAAATTTCTAGCTGAGAACTATAAATCGGTTTTATCAGATGCTTTATTTTTTAGTATATATCAACAATGATGTGAAGGGTTTCTGGTGACTCTGCAGTACTTTTCTGTATGTTCACTACCTTCCATTTACCTTTTTGTGACCCATTTCTCTTTTTTGAGTTATGCCTTTGGGCTCAGCTCTTCCTTATTATCTTTTTCTAAATTATTATGAGTTCCTTACCTAAATTCTCTGCTTACAGTTTTTCTCTCTTCTAACTTCTCTTACATACCACTATGTTATTAGTTCCAAAACTCCCTTATATCCTGAAAATCCTACATGTAGTGACTCTTTATTGTCTATATCAAGTCAACATTTTAGTCACTAGACCTCTTTTGTCCTTAGTTTTTTCAACTGTAAATTGGGGTAACAATCCTTATATCATGGAGTTGTGAGGATTAGAGATACTAAACATGAGTTACCACAGTGCAGTTTAATGTCTGACATATCTAAGTTGTCAATATATACCCAACATTTGAAACCCTCTTTAACTTTCTAACCATACCCAGTCCTATTTCCTCTACTCAGAAATGTGTATCCACCGGTATGGTCCATCTGGCCTCTTTACTGACCTCCACACATACTGTGTTACTGCTTTCTGAGTGGAAGTCTTGGCCCACATCTTTCTGCTTATTCATCTATCTTATCCTTTAGAGCTCAATAAAAGCCTCTGCATTTTTCGTCAAGCTTTCCCAAACAAATTTAATCATACCTGATCTTCCTGACTTCTAATGGTAATTGCAGTCTTCTTCACACACTTTAACATTTAAGTGTTATTTTGTGTTGTTTTCCTTATGTTTCAGTATGCACACCTTATTTCTTTTCTTTTCTTTGTTTTTTTTTTTTTGAGTTGGAGTCTCACTCTGTTGCCCAGACTGGAGTGCAGTGGCTCACGGCCACCACAGCCTCGACCTGCTGGGCTCCGGCGATCCTTCTGCCTCAGCCTTCCGAGTAGCTGGAATTATAGGCGCGCGCTACCACACCCGGCTAATTTTTTGATTTATTGTAGAGATGAGGTCTCGCCTGCCCAGGCGGGTCACGAACCCGCGGGCTCAGGCAATACACTCACCTCAGCCTCCCAAAGGCACGGGATTACAGGCTGAGCCACTGAGCCTGGCTCACACCTTATTTCTGTTCTAGGAATTGTGACTTTCTTGAGGGCAGGATCATATTTGGTCTGTATAATGTTGGGTATATAACAGATGTCTCCAAAATATCTGCCTAATTTAATTGCTTCTCTGGTAATAGCTATTAGAAGTGAGTTTTCCAGGAAAAAATTAATTTTCGTGGATCTTTTCAGAATTTTTATTTTTTAGAGACAGGATCTTACCCTGTCACCCAGGAGCAATAATAGCTCACTGAAGCCTTAAAATTCAGGGCTCAAGCAATCCTTTTGCCTCAACTGCCTGAATAGCTGGTACTTCAGGTGTGCACCACCATGGCCAGCTAAATTTTTTTTTTTTGGAAACAAAGTCTCACTATGTTGCTCAGGTTGACCTCTAACTTTTGTCCTCAAGCAATCCTCCTACCTTTTTTTTTTTTTGAGTTGAAATCTCACTCTGTCGCCCAGACTGGAGTGCAGTGATCGCTCCCGGCCACCGCAGCCTCGACCTGCTGGGCTCCGGAGATTCTTCCGCCTCAGCCAAATTACAGGCATGCACTACCACGCCTGGCTGATTTTTTGATTTATTGTAGAGGTGAGGTCTCGCTGCCCAGGTGGATCTCGAACCCGCGGGCTCAGGCAATCCACTCACCTCAGCCTCCCAAAGGCGCGGGATTACAGGCTGAGCCACCGAGCCCGGCTATTCCTCCTACTTTTAAACCTCCCAGAATGCTGGGATATAGGTGTGAGCCACTGTGCCCAGCCTTGGTGCATCTTGATTCTTAATTGCACATGGTAGAGATAGTTTTTAGAGTTGCCTTTGAATAGAAAATTGCAGATACAAATTGGAAACAACTTGAAAAAATATTCACTTTCAAAATTGTGGTGTTTTCATGTACCTGTTTTACATTTGATGTTACCTTCAGATTAGAATTAGTGGAATGTCCATTCTTTATTCAGTGTGATAGTGTTAAAATATTTATTGTTACCTATAATATTTGCCACTTTCTCTTTTTTAAGTGCTGTCATGTTACTATTTTTTTCCAAAATATCTTCTTTCTTGATTATAATTGTTCTTGATTATATTTTTGAAAAATTAAAAAATACTGAAGATACTGGGAAAAAAATTATTTCTGTGAGTGCAAGATAAAGACTGTTGACATTTTGATATATATACTTCCAGTTCTTTTCTTTGTATCTATGATGGATGTTTCCTCTTCTAAATTTCTTGCTTTGAAATTCTTAATGTTTGCTTTTCAGCTTTTCCTAAAACGATTCTTGTACACCCTGAGAAGTGCTTGAGGAAGAGTGATGAAGGCAAGTATCTAACTCTTTATAATCAGTGAAATCATATCTTGGTTCATGTCCAAATCACAAAGCTTTGGTCACTACATCTATCAAAAAACTAAAAACTGGAAAGAGAAACTTAAAGGAAAAAAAAAGACAAAGACAGTTTGTGTATAACTTGCTATGGTTTTGTGGAGTACTTCCTATGTGTGATGGATTTTTGTTTTGTTTTGTTTTGTTTTGTTTTGTTTTGTTTGAGTTGGAGTCTCACTCTGTTGCCCACACTGGAGGGCAGCTGCACGCTCCCGATCACTGCAGCCTCAACCTGCTGGGCTCTGGCAATCCTTCCACCTCAGCCTTCCAAGTAGCCAGAAGTGATGGATTTTACAACATGATTTTTTCACTTGTTTCTGATATTAATCAGAACAACTTGTTTTCTGAATGTGAACTGACAGTATATAATGTCTTTAGCAAAACTGTGCTAGAAAAATTGTTGAAAATTATGAGAATTTAACAAAATTATTTGAAATACCTGGTCTGCCTTTTCTTCCTCTTTTCCCCATCTTTCACTCCTTCCACTTCTTCTTTCTGCCATGTCCTTTTGCTCCCTTTTCTCACTTCCTCTGGTTTACCTATAAGAACTTTAGTTTTCAGAGTAGCTAAGTGAATAAAAGAGAAGCCAACATTTCCTTCTTTTTTTTTTTTTTTTTTTGAGTTGGAGTCTCACTCTGTCACCCAGTGGCACACTCATGGCCACCACAGCCTCGACCTGCTGGCCTCAGCCTTCCAAGTAGCTGGAACTACAGGCACGCGCTACCACGCCCGGCTCATTTTTATTTATTGTGGAGATGAGGTCTCACCAAGTTGCCCAGGTGGGTCTCGAACCCGTGGGCTCAGGCAATCCACTCACCTCAGCCTCCCAAAGGCGCGGGATTACAGGCTGAGCCACCGAGCCTGGCTACATTTCCTTCTTACCAAAGTATTTGGTAGTCTTTGCATTTGAATTTGTCTGTCTTAAAAGTTCTAAGCAGACTCCCATTTCCTTCTTTTTTTTTTTTTTTGAGTTGGAGTCTCACTCTGTCACCCAGTGGCACACTCATGGCCACCACAGCCTCGACCTGCTGGCCTCAGCCTTCCAAGTAGCTGGAACTACAGGCACGCGCTACCACGCCCGGCTCATTTTTATTTATTGTGGAGATGAGGTCTCACCAAGTTGCCCAGGTGGGTCTCGAACCCGTGGGCTCAGGCAATCCACTCACCTCAGCCTCCCAAAGGCGCGGGATTACAGGCTGAGCCACCGAGCCTGGCTACATTTCCTTCTTACCAAAGTATTTGGTAGTCTTTGCATTTGAATTTGTCTGTCTTAAAAGTTCTAAGCAGACTCCCATTTCCTTCTTTTTTTTTTTTTTTGAGTTGGAGTCTCACTCTGTCACCCAGTGGCACACTCATGGCCACCACAGCCTCGACCTGCTGGCCTCAGCCTTCCAAGTAGCTGGAACTACAGGCACGCGCTACCACGCCCGGCTCATTTTTATTTATTGTGGAGATGAGGTCTCACCAAGTTGCCCAGGTGGGTCTCGAACCCGTGGGCTCAGGCAATCCACTCACCTCAGCCTCCCAAAGGCGCGGGATTACAGGCTGAGCCACCGAGCCTGGCTACATTTCCTTCTTACCAAAGTATTTGGTAGTCTTTGCATTTGAATTTGTCTGTCTTAAAAGTTCTAAGCAGACTCCCATTTCCTTCTTTTTTTTTTTTTTTGAGTTGGAGTCTCACTCTGTCACCCAGTGGCACACTCATGGCCACCACAGCCTCGACCTGCTGGCCTCAGCCTTCCAAGTAGCTGGAACTACAGGCACGCGCTACCACGCCCGGCTCATTTTTATTTATTGTGGAGATGAGGTCTCACCAAGTTGCCCAGGTGGGTCTCGAACCCGTGGGCTCAGGCAATCCACTCACCTCAGCCTCCCAAAGGCGCGGGATTACAGGCTGAGCCACCGAGCCTGGCTACATTTCCTTCTTACCAAAGTATTTGGTAGTCTTTGCATTTGAATTTGTCTGTCTTAAACAGGATCTAGGCTGGGCCCAGTGGCTCATGCCTGTAATTCCAGCACTTTGGGAGGCTGAGGCGAGAGGATTGCATGAGCCTAGGAGTTTGAGACTAGCCTGGAGAACATGGCAAGACCTTGTCTCTACAATTAAAAAAAAAATTAGCCAGGCATGGTGGTGTGCACCTGTAGTCCCAGCTACTTGGAAGGCTAAAGTGGAATGATAACCTGAGCCCAGCAGGTTGAGGGTGCAGTAGCCTTGATTGTGCCACTGCACTCCAGCCCGAGCAACACAGTGAGACTCTGGCTCAAAAATAAAATAAAATAAATGAAAAACAAACAAAAAACCCCAAGGATCTAAATATTAGTTAATTGAGGAATTTTATAAACTGAACACCAGTTTTTATTCATTTGAACTTTTCTGTTTTACAGAAGAAAATAAGGGTGTCCTATACTGCTTTGTAGAATTCCTTTTGTTTGTATTTTTGTTTTGTTTTTTTTGGGTTTTGAGTTGAAGTCTCACTCTGTCGCCCAGGCTGGAGGGCACCACAGCCTCGACCTGTTGGGCTCATGTGATCCTTCCATCTCAGCCTTCCAAGTAGCTGGAGCTACAGGCGTGTGCCACTGTGTCCAGCTAATTTTTTTTTTTTATTGTAGAGATGAGGTCTTGCCAAGTTGCCCAGGCTGGTCTTGAACCCAAGTGCTCAGGCAGTCCTCTCATCTCAGCCTTCCAAAGTGCTGGGATTATAGGCATGAACCACTGTGCCCAGCCTATTTGTTTTCTTTATTGACAGCAATTTTATAGAGTTAATTATTACAACATTACTATCTTTGATATAATTACCACAGTATTTGACTTCCTTAATATTTGGCATATATTGAAAGATGGCCTTAAAGATTTCTGTTGGCCTACAGTAAATTTTAGCAACCTTCAAAACTTTGGCTGTGTTTCTTGGTGTGGCTGTCACAGCAGTAATGCAGGTGCAATATAGTAATACTACAAGTGTAAGTACCAGGTTCTATTTCATAATCAGTGCAGTAGATTGTTTCTCAAAGTTCTTTTCTTAAAACTTGATGTTTAAAGCTGAATTTAGGTTTCTGAATTTAGGTTCCATGCTAGGTGAGCCTATGCTATTTAGTATGATTAAGGTAAGTTTTGCCTTGGGGTATCCTGGATTTCACTACTGTTTTATTGCTTAGTCTTTGTACCTGTAAAGAAAGCCTTGGCTTTGGAAATTAATGCCTGTTTCTAGCTTTTCCTAGGGAATGCTAGCATTTCCTTGTAATCGTCATTTTGAATTATTAGAAAATAAACAGTTTACATGCTAGTGAAATCTCAAATGAAGTTATTGGCGTTTACAATGTACCATATTCTCCATTTTTTTAAAAAAAGAAGCAAGCCGGGCTCGGTGGCTCAGCCTGTAATCCCGCACCTTTGGGAGGCTGAGGTGAG